GAAACCATCCTTCCCAATGTAAGTTTATACAAATAATTTCAATGGAGAAAAAATTAATGAGCATTTGCATGCCCCCACAAACAAAGAAGGTCATCTATGGCAAGATAATGTGAGCTTGGCATAGCAGTCCTCCACCGCCTCTCTGGATGGACCAATTTGGTGAAAGTTTTCTTTCAGGTTTTTTTATTGAGGCCATTATAATTCTCTAAGTTTTGAGAAACACCATTATAATTCGCCTATTTAGATATCTACCATTATAATTTTATCTCTCCCTAATCTATGCAATTTTCTACACTTCTCGCGTTTAAGGGCCCACTGTCAAGCATGTATGTGTACAAGAATGCATACAGACGTCAAGTCCTAGTCGCCTCCATTAGACCAAGCCCGCCCACAGTCGCCTCGCCTCGCTGCGCAGGCCGCCATGGCCGCACGCCACCGCTCCACGTACACGTGTCAGATCGCCGCCCTCCTAGAGGCAGAGCACGCGGCCGCCCCAGTGTAGGACACTGGTGTTGGCCAAAGGTGCCGCCCTATGGCACTGAGAAGGGCCCAGGTGTGTGAACCGCCACAATGCGCCTCCCACGTCATGCTCCTCCTGCTTCGCCATCGTCTCCACGTACCACGCGGAGTAGTGCGCCACACCGTCGGCGTCGAAGCGGAACGAGAGGAGGTAACCGTGGCTGTCGAGCCGGTGCACGGTGGACCCATGGTCACTACTAGGAATATTCACTTCTACGATGAACAGCTTTCGTCACTGAAGGAGCCAAATTCGTTATAATTTTAGTTTTATGATGAATTTATGACGAAAAATGTTTCGTCATAGAAGTCGTGTCATACTTGAACTTCCATGACAAATCTAAAAATTCGTCATAGAAGTGGCTTGATCTATGACAAAAAATTCACCGTCATAGAATTGTTTTGGCACGCTAGTGGTTGCTTTCGTTGGAGATGCTTTCTACGTGTACATGCTATAGCCGGTTCCATTAGAGATGGTTCGGGTCACGTATCACCTTGTTATTGGATAACGTGGCCATCTCTGGTTCTTGCATGTTTCTGGTTTTTAATAGACCACGTGTCGGGTCTCTGTTGTTCTTTATGTCAGTTTTCTATTGGCACACGTGTCGTGTTACCGATGGATCACGTGTCACTTCTTCATTGGACCATGTGTCTTATTTTTGTTGGTGGACGTGTCCATTTCTTATTTGACCATGTGTCATAGTGATGTCCGTCCATGTTTCGTTTTTTGATTCGGCCACGTGGCTTGACGACTTCCCTCCACGTGTCGGATTTTTATTAGCCCACATGTCGTGCCATGGCTATTTCACGTGTCATGCACTCGTTCGTCCACGTGTCGTATTTTATTTGATCACGTGGCCTGCCCAGGTTCTACGTGCTCAACAATCAATTTATCATAAAAGTAATTCGAGATCATCACTGCTGCACATATTGACTACATAATTATTCGATGCATGTCTACATAATTATTCAGCATGACAATTAAACACAACAAATTATTGTTTACACATCAGGAGCAACCCACTGACAGTTGCACCATATCAAACCAACACACGAGTACACACATCAAACCTTAAATGTTCACCACATCAAGCCAACAGAGTTGACGACTGAGAGTTACCAGAAGAAGAGCTGAAGAGCATGATATCCTCACATAGCTTATTGTACTCCTCCTGTTGCTGTATCTTGAACTCCTCAAACTTCCTTTTAGTCTTTTCTGTCTTTCTCTTCAGTTTATCTACTTGTTCGATGAGGTTAGCGGAACTTTCCTGTTCAGCAACAAACTATTTCCAAAGCATTCTCTCCATCGATGTCTCTGTTCTAGCAGAGCTTGTCGGGATACCAGAATTCTTCAAAAAAAGGGTGTTGCCACTGATCTAGGAGTGGACCTGACCCTAGGAGAGGCAAAGGACCTTGGGAACAACATTAGCACTAGTCATTGGTTCGTGCCCATCAACAACAGGTTCTGCTCGCATAGTTTTCATAGCTTCCTGTGAAATTCAAGCAGTAAACATTATGTTACAGATAGTGGAAGAGGACTTTAATTGAAAACCAAAGAGATTAGTTCAAAACAAGTAAAGCAGGTTTCATATTGATATGGATTACATAAGTACAACGCACATGTACTCATATGGATTACAGCAACAGGGCCGCTGCCTATGGGTGCGAGCCTGGGCCACGAGCAGGTGTTGGAGAAACGTAGGAGGGCTGCGCCCATGCTGCGCTGATGAGCTCCATGCGCTGCGGCCGACTTCCGCGCCGGCGTCGCCCGCAACGACGAGCGTCCATTCATCTAAGCAGCAAGGTGATATTGTGCTGACAGCGCATGTTGCAAATGTATTTTTCAAGAGTTTTAGATGTGTCATGTGGATGTTGCAAGTGTTTCATAATATGGCAAGTGTTTCATCTGAATGTTGCAAGTGTTTCATCTGAATGTTGTAAAAGTATATCAGGATATTGCACATGTTGCAAGTGTTTTAGAGGTATGTTGCAAACGTCTATCCCAATGTTTCATGATGTTACATATATTTCACACCTTCTCTATATGTTGTGTATGCTTTGCAATGGTTTTTAAGTGTTTTCAGGTGTTTTTACAAGTGTTTCAGACGCATGTTTCAAGTGTTTCATTTGTCTTATTTTGTATGTTGCAAGTATTGCATCTGGATGCTTCAAAAGTAGATCTAGATATTGTATATGTGTGCATGACATCGGGAGCACGTCAGGGATGGAGCGTGGCAGAGACGTACACGAAGGTGAACGGGGAGCGGCAGGGGACGAAGCGCGGTGGGGGGCGGCGGTGCGGCAGGGATGGGCTGCCACGAGTGACGCGTGCTCTCAGTTTCATTACGCGGGGATAGACGTGCTCGTTCGAATCGTTTTTCTGCGGGTTTCATCAGACGTGGAATCACAACTTGGGAGCTATGTCCGGACGCGTCGGGACGCTAACTGTTTCCATCTGAATATCTGATCTTGTCTTGTTCCTCTCGTCATCATCTTACTCTTCCACTCTTCGCCCCGTATAAAAAAATTTGGAAGCTGATCTGCCGGTGACTCCCATCCTGGCCTCGCTCAGTCGCTCTTCCATTGCTCACTCAAGAGTCCAGACTCAGTAGTAGCACCAGTTTGACCGTCTCGCTCTCCGGCACCCAGCTTCTAGCTAGACACATGCTGCACTGCACACTGCCCGGTTCCTGTGCTCCGTCGCGACCGCCTTCGCGCGGCTCCTGAATCCTGATCGAGCTCCGCAAGCTCCTCATCAGGGCATCCGCGTTCTCTCCGGTCGTTACCGACGTTGGTGGCGACGGCGGCATCTCCAGCCGCCGGCAAGCTGCAGAGGAAGACGCCTGCTACTGCTGCTGCCTCAGTCGTATTCACATGATCATAATTTTCCGTTAAAAGCAGTGTGTCATATTCATATATATGCACAGTGTATACATTTTCCAGTAAAATTTGCGCAAATCGTAGTTTTCCAAAGAATTATTTCATGAATTGGTCAGATAAAATATTTTATCTCTCTTGTTTACATAATCCATTTAACATATTTTTATATGGAATCTTTATTTTATACACTTGGGTATACAATCACAAGTTTTTTTTAAAAAAAAAAGACTACATAATTGCTCTATTTGTTGCTAAATAAGTGCAGAGATACAAAAATATTTCTTATTATTTTGAGGTCAAATTTAGCCACAAGGTATTAATAGACCTTAAAGTGCCCCCTTGTTAACTAGTCTTGGACGACAGTCTCCTGATTAGCTAGCATATGAGATGTTAGCTTCCACGGCGGTGCAGTGGCGGCGAACAGGAAGGAAGGAGAAGAAGATGTAGTTCCGCCGGCAGAGGACCGGCTTGGGGAAGAAGTAGGTAGATTTTTTTTTAGCAAATAAGTACGTAGATTAGTGTTATGTTTTTCGTTGCTTACAAATTCTCCTTTCTCTCTCATCTATAGTCTGCTCCTCTCTGGGCCTGGCGCAGCAGGCATTATACACACCCATTCTGGGCCTGGGCCTTGTTTAGATTCCAAGTTTTTTCATTCTCTCCTGGGCCTTAATTATACAGTTTGATTGTAAATTACGAGATGAATCTTTTGAGCCTAGTTAAACCATGATTGGACAATAATTGTCAAATACAAACAAAAGTGCTACAGTGCCGAATACTGATTTCCAACCCTCGTCTAAACAAGGCCCTGGCGCAGCAGGCATTATACACACCCATTCTGGGCCTGGCGCAGCAGGCTTCACCAACTCTCCCTCAGTATTTCTATTTCGGCCAGGCCACCTTTATACGTAAGCCGTGTGACGAGTGCGGGACCACAGTCCGGTGGTGGCCGGCGCCCGGCGGGCAACTTGGCCATGCGATGCCACGCCAGGAAGTACATTTCCCATATGTCAGTTGGGTTCATCGATTTTGTTTCAAAATCCATACGCCATCGAGCTGTCTATTGGGTTGTATTACATTTTACTCGAGCTTAAAATAACGTTGCACATGACACAAAATTGGGACGTTACATTACAAATACTGATCGACCTTAATTTGGAAACAAATATAATAATGACCCATGTGAAGAATGAACCCAATGCATAAAAAAGAAGACTAGAATTGCTTAAATGAGATGAAGTGTACCAGTCGAAACCACGCAAACGTGTATATAAGCATTATTACAACTAAAAGCTACACACCAATTCGAACGTCCAGTTTATGATCCCTGACAGACTGAGAGTCATGTATTCACCAACTACAAGCATTATGAAGCCGCGGTGCCTGCCGTCCGAGATCTGCTCATTGATCAGTGCAACCCAAGAGAAAAGAAAATAGAATTTGCCTTGTTCAATTCCTACGTGCTCCATACAAGAAAACGGCAAACAAATGATAATTTATAGTGATATAAACTTATCCTCCACGTCATGTATTCACAATGGTTGTCATCGGGTTTGTACTGCGCAATGGTCGGATGGGCGCCTGCTCCACCCGTGAGCCATATGACTTCAATCAAGTCTTTCGACCTGGAGGAGTATGGGACTGTTGGGATGGACTGCTGCTGCGCCGCTGATGTCATCCTCCAAAGCCTTCACCTCGCCAGCATCAGCAAAGTCGCAGTGAACACCGACAACCACATGTTTGAGGCCTGCAAGATTCTGCAAACCAAGGACGAGGCCACCTTCCCCATACTTGAACTGGCACCGTGCCCGTTGTGCCAGCTTGAGCCTTTGGAGCTTTGGCATGGCTCCCGGCTCAAACTCCAATGCAGCCTCGCGCCAACAGCACAAAGTAAACTTAACCAAACACTGGAATCCTTGTCTGCTGATTGCATGCCTTGCGTAGAGGATGCTTGAATCTCCATCTTCGTCATCGAATAAGTTAACAGTAAGAGAGAGCAGCATGGGTAAACTTGCTAGGATATTTATTCCTTCCTTGCCTGCTTCACCATAAACATCAATGTAGAGACGAGACAGGTTGACTAGTGAGCTAATTTGAGGGCCCACCCTATTTAAGTTATGTGTACCAAGATGAAGCATTTGAAGCGGTGGTGGAGTAGGGACACACGAAGCCATGAATGAACATGTGGCATCAGGATCACTCCCCCACACGCGTAGTTCTCGCAGGCGCCTGAACAACCTGGAGAGCGTTGAGATACTAGCTTCCTTGTGATCCTTCATATCACGTAATTCAGTAGAGCATGGCCAATCAATTTCAAGTACTTTTAGGTAGGTCAGATCACCGAGTCCTTGGATAAACTCTACAGATTGAATACCCAAATTGATACTTGATAGCTCTTCTAACGCCTGCAGATTTCTGATTTCATCGGGCAGGTGCACTGAGTCACCGACAAAAAGACGCACTAGCTTCTGCAACAGCATAATACTTGCTGGTAGGTTTCCAAGACCGGCCCCTCTCAAATCTAGTGTCTCTAGATGTTGTAGCTTTTTTATACCTTCTGGAAGCTTGGAGACCCCGACAAATTCTGCCCTCAAGTACTTCAATTGACCAAAACTTTTGACATGTCCAAGATTGCATCCATCAACCGGACTTTCTATATTTAGCACTCGCAAGACTTGGTTGTTTAAGAACTCAGAGGCATGCATATGGACCAGCACTGAATGAAAACCAAAGATATTAATTGATCGAATATGAGCTGCATTTTTTATTGTCTTGGCAATCTCTTCCGCCCGGGCAGAAATGTCTTTCTGGATGGATAAACGGCGAATCTTGTTCGAAGAATAATTTTTAGAAAAATCATTACCATTCCATATGGTAACAAAGTTGTCCTCTATAGCCGTTGACACAATGAACTCAAGTATGACATCATGAACTCTGCACTTTTTCACGGTTGTGCCATCTGCCCCAACTTTGGTTTTTCTGGACCAAGCTTCTATTGATCAGTTCATTCAAGTAACTTCTCCCTAGTTGCTCCATACTTTCTCTGTCCTGTCCAGGAATCAGTCCTTCGGCCACCCACAGCAATATCAACTGGCGGCAATGAATGGAATAATCCTCTGGAAACACACTGAGATATAGCAAACAACTCTTTAGATGGTGAGGAAGGTCAAAGTAACTCAGCAGCAGAATTCTTTTCATCTTATCAATGGGAGAATCTTTGTCAACTGCAGCAGCAATAGATCTCAATACATTGCTCCAGACTTCCACGGTTTTGCTTCTGTTTGCTAATAAACCAGCTATACTGATTATGGCTAATGGTAAGCCACAACATTTCTTCAAAATACCATCGGATACTTTTCTCAAATCTGGGTGACAATCGTCACCGGAGAAAAATAGCCTCGTAAAGAATAATCTCTGAGAGTCCTCATCACTAAGTGGCTTGGCTTCATACATTTGTGCGGCAATACCAGTACAACATTTGTTGGCTACTACTTTCTTGCGTGTTGTAGTAATAATTCTGCTTCCATTGTCATTGACAGGTAAGGCAGATCGTACAAGGTCCCATGCTGATTCACTCCAGATATCATCAATTAAGATGAAGTACCTGCATGCATTAGTTACGAAATCATGTTATTATGTAAGGCCACCATGAATTTGAGCATATTCTGGTGAAATTAAAGAAATCGGAGAAATGTAACAAGAAGATGGATCGTCGTGGCACATTTTTCTATCAGTAAGTATTACTGTATGTCTGTATTACACATGAGAAATACAGACTGTAAACTCCTAATATTTAATAAATATGTTACAACTTCCAAAATAGTTGGTGCCGCATTAGAACACCTAGAGACCCACTCAAAAGACATGACACATTCAGTTCAAAAACTGAGTTCCAAAATGAGATTTTTATGGATATTTAGAATTCTGTTCATATTTTTCAAGAAGTAATTTTACTGAATATGGATTAGATGGTGTAAAGTAATTTTTTTACCAAAATGATGCACAGTTGACTTGAGTTTGTTCATTGTTGTAACATCTTTAATGATGACATTTGATAGATATGCTGAGCCATTGAAGTATCTGAGGTAGTTTAATGCTGTCAAGTTCATTAGGCCAGGAAAAAATGAATCATTTTTTAAAATTCCCAGAAAATTTCATAAATAGCCTAATAAATAGGTGAACTCATGTGATGAACAAATATTGCACGACATTATTCTAGCTAAATGAACTGGTTAACTATTAGAAAAAGAAATAATATTGATTACCTCTTGTCCTTTAAGCATTCTTTCACTGTGCGGATGAGCTGCTCAACTGTCTCTAACATCTGTGACCGGTCAAAATGGCTCTTGCTTATTTGAGACAATATATCTCTAAGAAGTTTCTTCATATCTGGAGTTTGTGATACAGACACAAAAGCTCGGCAATCAAATGCTCCAGTGATTTTGTGGTACACCTCCATAGCGAGAGTGGTGTTCCCCTGTCCGCCGATCCCATAGATGGACACCACTTTGTGCTGCTTCTCTTCACATTTCAATAACCTGATGATCTCCTCACGAGGAGCATCAATTCCCACAAGATTGCTGGCCTCCTGAAAGAGTGCAGGTGCTCGAGGATCCAAGAGCACTGGCTGAGGTGAGGCAAGGAGACACTGATTGATGTCGTAGTAGCGTTTCCCCCGCTCGCTCTGCTCGCTGACGAGGCTCTTGAGTTCTCGGATCTCCTCTGCTATTCCTCCGTCCTTGAACAGCGTCTTCACCTTTTGAAAGAAGTCAAAGAACTTGTGCACAAAGTTGGCCGTGGAACCTCCATCTCCATGGCTGTGATTGAGCACAAAACGGTCGACGCAATCCTCAATGTCGTAGGACAGCTCACGCACCTTGCTCCTCCAGTCTTTGGCGAGTGGATGGATGTGGTCGTCGTCCTTGTCCGCGAGCACCCGCAGCACGGCATCCATGGTGCTCAGCTCGTCTCGCAGGAAGCGGATCCCTTGCTTGACGTCTGTGGCGAGGTTGTACTTGTCGGTGAGCATGGCGGCCAGCTTGTCGATGACGGAGCCCAACACGCCCGTGGCGGTGATCGCCATCAATCCGGCCATCTCGACTCGAAAGCACTCGCTCAAAGTGGATTGCTAGCTAGCTAGCATGCGCGGTGGTGTTGGAGATGCCAATTCCGAGGATACTTGCTCGCAGATGGTGGGCGCAATAATAGAAAGTGGAAGTTTGTAACCACTTCCGACCAAGTCTCCCTTGTTTTAATATTTCGGCCGGTCCACCTCTATCCGCAAAGCCGTCACCAGCGGCAGCGCACTAATGCCACGCCATTAACTGGGTGAAGACCAAGCAAAGCACGAAAGCTCTTGATCATGCCCCGTCTAGTTCTAGTAGTAATTACCTATGGTCCCTTCATCTCACTAATGCCCAAACCAAAGTTGTGCTTGTCTGCGTATGGGAAAAGACACACAACACTACAATAGAGATGAGCCATAGCCGGCCCATCTGGGTAGGATGGCCTGTGTGAACGACTTCTTAATAGAATTTGAGCATAACATTTGGATAATTATAACTCAATTATAAACAGGACTATTATAATCTATTTATGGGTTATTATAATCTAGGTTGTTTAGATTTAATTCAGATTATAAAAGTAGAGGGAGAAATCAATAAATTTAAGCCAAGAAATTGGTCGATGATAGCTCTAGGGACACTACTACAAAAAATGCTTTTGCAAGACACTGTCTAAACATTAACGTAGGCCGTCACAAAATGCAAGTGTCTTCTAAAATATCCGAGGATTTTTGGAGGCAGTTATTTTATTTACGGAGACGGTTACAATTGCATGTTCCGCAAAATGGATTTACGGAGATGGATGTTTTATTTTCACAGGCAGTCAGATTTTTTCCGTCTCCTAAAATCTATTTACAGGGGCGGTAAAAAAGTGACCGCCTCCTAAAATCGATTTACGAAGTAGCCTCTGTTAATCGTGGCCGAGGCGCCGCCAAAGCCCAAATCGGGCTTATATAAAAGCCAGAGTTAGGCTTAGCGTGGCGCCCCTCCCTCTCAGGCTCCTCCCTCTTGAGCACGGCGCCCCTCTCCCTCCCCCCCTAGCTCGCCTCTCTCTTAGGCTCCTCCCTCCCGAGCGCGGCGTCCCTCCCTCACCCCCGAGCAACAACGACGCTCCCTCTCCCCCTCCCCCACAGCCGGCAGGCAGGGCGCGGCGCCCCTCCCTCTCCTCCGTGCGGCGGCGCGTCTCCCTGTTTTCCTCTCCCCATAGCAACTCTCTCCATCTCTCTTCCCCACCTCTCTCTTCCCCATCTCACGGCGGCGTTGAGGGGCCTCGACGGCAGCGCAGGGAGGCCGGATCCGGCGGGGGGCCTCGACAGCGACGCTGGAAGGCGGATCCCGATAGCCCTAAGGCGGATCCGGTGGCGGAGCGACGCGCAGGACCACCTCCACGTTCAGATCCGGTGGAGGCCTAGTGGCGCGAGCAAGATCGGCGTGCAAGTGGGCTCGGTGGTGGACCTAGTAGTGGGCTCGCCGGTGGGCTCGTGCCTTTTTTTCTAATTGATTTCACGAGCGGGCAATAGGACCGTCTCCGTTAGTTGGTTTTCGTAGGCCAGTAATTGGCCCGTCTTCGAAAAAATTGATTAACACAGACGTTTTCATCCAGGCAGATGGGATGCCCGCCTGGGAAAACTAGATTTGCCCGCCTGCGTTAAGCTCTATGTAGTAGTGTGAGTTTTTGCAGATAGATGCACCAAAAGCGCATGGACATAGCACAAGTATGATCCAATAAATAACAATACTACTAGTGAAATTGTTTTCAAATAGAAAACCCCAAATGTTATAGTGAAAAACTAGCTACTTGTGCGGGTCTTCTTGACTAAGGGTGAAAATCAAATGGTTATTTTCTGGCATCTAGACTTGAGCATTTTGCGGGCTAGACCGAAAAAACCTAGCTGTTCTGGGCCTAAAATCCTACCCATGACTGTCCCACTGAACGAGTCAGCTAGATTTTAAGCCGGGCCCAAGCCTACCACTCGCACAATTTATAGTGTAAATTAACAAAAATTTATATTTCGTGTCAGGCTCGGGCCAAGAAAGTCCTGTGTGGCAGGATCTGTGTCCTGGCCCTATCGACTAAGGTTCGTGGGCAAGCCAAAACCCAACAAGCTCAGGCCGGGCTGGGCTCCATTTACTCATGTCTACTGATATCCATGTGTCTGAAGGGGTTTAGATACTAAGTGGATAATTCTTATCTAATATCCATATCATATCAGCAATTACACATACAACTCAGACACACTATTTGTATCCATTTTTGAATTTGAGATAAAAATTTACATAACTACAAGTATTCATAGCCAAGTCACATCCACTTGTATTCTATCAGTTATCATCCCTATCTTTATACTTTACTTTGATCTTTGTGTTGTATAAGTGTACATGTGAGCGACAGCTAGGAGCCCATATTTTAGGATAAACTCCATTTTTTAATCTCAAACTTGCACATCATTAAGATTTTCATCATGAAATATATATGAAATGGTCATATGACTGGTTTCAAAGATGATTTTTTATTTTTAAAAAATAAAAATATAGTTTAATCTAAAAAAATTATGTAAATCTGAAAGAAGTATGAAACTTGTACTTATTTCCTGTTAAAAGGTTATCTATATGCCCGTGCTCTATTTGGAGATATTTGAATCTTATTTGTTTTAAATAAGTAATGAGTATGACTACGAGCAATAAAGCAATATGAAAAGAAATAATTGTTCCAAATAAATCTGAATTGATCAAAAACACATATATAGTATTTTTTTAAATGTCACTAGTTTCACATTTGTTTGAATTAAAATAAATTAGTTATAAATTTGTAGATATAAAACTACTTTTTTATTATTATAGAATAGACAACCACCTTTGAAACTAGCAAAAGAGCTAAATTTGTGCAGTTTTGATAGTTGGATTGTACATTGTTTTATAGTTTAATTTAAGATTAAAAATCAGATTATCATAGAAGTTTACTCATAGTTTTATTCCAACTAGTGTTCAATTTAACACGTGCGGTGTACACATGTTTGTGGTTGTGATAGGAGACACCATGTTTTTATATTTAAAAAACTCATAGATTGTAGGATACTTAGGTTATAATTTGTCAAATTTTTGTGTCAATTTTTTGTTAATAAGACATCTGTATCATTCTTTTCATAAAATTATATCATAGGAACGCGTCCCTATAGGTGCATGTGCTGGTGTTTCATGAAGATATGCCATTGGCCCTGTTCGCTCGCCTGAAACATGGCTGAAATTGACTAAAAAACACTGTTCTGACTGAAATGTTGTGAGAGAAAAACACTGTTTCGGCTGAAAAAAAAAAGTCGAACAAGCCGAATTTAAAGTCAGCCGAACGAGGCCAATACGGTCTGGTTTTACTGTTCATCATGGGAAAAATGTACATGGAAAGGGAATACGGGATGCGCCAACAAATTGGGGCCTTTGGCAATGATGCACAGGGGCTTCAAGTGCTACTGGATGAGGATGGGGTTGCTGGAGTAGACGCAGTCGGGTCAGGTGCTACTTGACGAGGAAAATGTCGCCATGGTAGTACGATGTTGTCTTTGTGCGGCATGGAAACTTCCTCCGATCCAGCCCTTGCTATTGAATAGATAGATCAATACAGAAATATATTTTTATTGGAGGTTAATTACAAACATATAATTGTTAATACAAACACAGAGCTAAATTTGGAGCTTATGCGACATTGAAGCATATATATGATAGATTAATCTAGAGTACTTATATGGAATAAGCAAGAATCTAATAACCCACCATACAACTTGCAGCTACATGGATTGGCATCATCAGCATATGCGACAAAATAACCATATATTAATCTAAGGTCTTTATGAAGGAAATAAGAATCTAATAATGTGCTAGCTTAGTTCACTTATGTGCATGGATGATTAGTTGATCACAATGACGACGGATGGTGGCTTGACAATGGGGCAGAATCCTGTGTAGATGCACGTGGATGTTGGTTTAGCATGCTGGCAACAATTTTCTTCCCTAATAGCCGATGAGAACGACGGCTTTGATCAAGAAAAAATATTTATTTCTTTGGATTGAAATTATAATTCATTTGTTTACCAGCATTTTTACAACAATCAATTTCTAGACGTTGGATTTGCTCTCTAAAGAACATCTAAGGAATAACACATAAGACGATGGGTAGGAATCTATTACTGTAGGTGAGAGGTACCCATGTCTACTACAAGAGACAAATCAAAATTACACTCAGTCCACCTAGAAATTTGTCCCCCACATAGATGACGTTTCCTACATCCACACCAGATTGTGCACCCAGAAAAGCCCCCACGTGAAAACCAATGACCCATATCTATTATGAGGAGGCTTCACCATGATCCTATGACCACGGACGAATCTAGGCTTCAACGGGCAGAGGAATTGTCGACCCGGGCATCGCTCACTCGCTCCACGTGCGCTCGCTCGCAGGCCGCCCGGCACTTCCCCCTCGCATCTCTACTATAAGGGACCAATCAAAATTACACTCAGTCCACCTAGAAATTTGTCCCCCATAGAGATGACGTTTCCTACATCCACACCAGATTGTGCACCCAGAAAACCTCCCACATGAAAACCAATGGCTCAGATCTATTCTTATGAGGCTTCACCATGATCCTACGGCCACGGACGAATCTAGGCTTCAACGCGCAGAGGAATCGTCGACCCGGGCGTCGCTTGTCCGCTCCACGTGCGCTCGCTCGCAGGCCGCTCGACACTTCCCCCTCACATGCACGTAATCTCCTCCTTCAATCACGCTCCCGATCCCGTCCTTCAATCACACCCCCACACCATCGCAACCCTCTCTCCCGTGCCCCTCGCCGATCGCTCGCCCACGCCGCAGCCTCCTCTCCCTCCACATCGCCCCCGCGATCCCAGCGCACCGCCCTCGCCCCTCGTGCGCTTCCACGCGCGCGCCACCATTGGCGCCTCCAGCACCGTCCTCGCCCTCGCGCGCCTCCACGTGAGGGGGAAGTGCCGGCATTAGGATCCACCAGGCGGCCAGCTGAGCTGG